GGTGTGGGGCGGGGGGAGTTTAGATGAGCGTGTGTGTGTTGTGGCGTGGGTGTGGGGGGGGGCGGGGGGGGTGTGGGGGGGGGGCGCGCCGGTTGGCGGGGGGGGGGTGGGGGGGGGGGGGGGGGGGGGGGGGGGGGGGGGGGGTTGAGCGGATGCCTGCTAGGACCACACGTGGATAAGAGCACCCCTGTGCGGATATCACCAGGTCCTGAACGGCGATGGTAGAGAGATGTCTTTGCCAGTTCTGGTTTGAGATGGCTTATGTTGGACCCCGATCGGGCTTCAACCGTGCTAAATCAGCAGCGGAGCATGCGGTATCGTATGACTCGGGGTAGGCCCCACAGAAAGTAACGACCGTCTCTTAATCGCTGTAGTGGACTCTACGAGAGATTGGGTGGAATATGGATCGTAGTTATGTAGGGTCGGTCGGTAGGGCACCGAAATGAGAAGTCTATCTTTTCCAAAACTGATTAATCAGCCTGGTCGAATTCCCCGGTGACTTCATCGGAAGACTGATCCAGTTGTCGGTGGATTGATTCATAGCATCGATACCAATACCAGATTTCACTAGTCGGCAGGAGAATGTGGATATATTTATTGCATGACGTTTTTATGATGCTGGGACCCCCAGCATGTTGTCACTAACACAAATATTGAAGCCGGAAGAGGCTGGGAAGAACCAGGTAATTGTCATAAGGAAAAATCAGTCCCCTACAACCAACGATGTCATCGCAAACAATATACTGTAATTCGGCGGAGCATCTCTTCGGATTCGTCATGGGTCTTCCCACGAGATTAGGCACCGTATGAGCCTATTAGACACAGCGAATCAGGTGATATTGCAATGTTTGATCATCCACTATGTGATTTCACACTCCAGTGGAACGGAACCAAGGCTGTCTTAAAAACGCCCCTGCTCAATCTTTTGTCCACTACCGCGCATGCCTTTACTCCTTGTTCTGCTCTCTAGCACAATTTCCTACTGTCAGATTTAGTTTACTTGGCCTCTCCCGTTCATCTTTTGACCAAACTACATACTTTCATTGCCGACAATACAAAGGTAAGAGCAGAGCTCATTACTTCCCCCCAAAAGCCTCCTAGCATATGATCGCTAGATCGACAAGACCCTTCGAAACGTTTATAGTGAAGCCAGTGCTCAACAGTCCTGATGTGATCATCATCAAGGTCAATGAACCATGCTGACAATATGGATCTTTAGACATTTTTCATCACCACTAGGGCTGCTCAAGTGGAACAGCCATTTCACTGCAGAATAATTATGTCCCTGCCCAAGTCAGCAGGAGGTGTGCAGCAGCCGGCCAACGAGACTTTTGTCAAGTCTTACCAGCCGCTGAATCCCGCTAGCATATCGCTAGAGGAATACAATCG